AAACTGCTGAACACACTTGGGCACCTCTTCAAGCAGAACTGAGGTGTTTGGCTACAATAGCTCATGAAAGGATTTGCTAGAAGCCAGGAAGTAAATATTGCCTGCCTGTGATCCAAGAGAAAGAGGCATTCCTATGTGGTAATATAACAGCTTCAAAACAAAGGTAGAAGGATAATTTAGCTTCAGAATCGTATGCAAAGAAGAGAAAGGCCCAGTGAGTCACCATAAGCCTTCCAGAGGGCACAACACACTTTTCTGAGGGACCACTGAATACAAGGCACATTCCTGTGCTCCATAACCAGTGCTAATGCACCACAGGCCAGCAGAGCTGAGACCTTCTCGCTCAGCAAGGGGATTACTTGCAGTGCCATTTATCTCAGCATCCATTCCTGCTGTGCCAAAGCACAAGCCACATCCAGGCCCACTAGAGGCAATGTTACCAGGCACCTACAAAGCTCCCAGTACATCCCATGCTACCAAGAGGCACAAAAGGAAAAAAATACAGTGAAGTGCTCAGAAATTTGTTCAATAGCACGTTAAAAGGTATTTAAGCTCTAGGCCAAGGCCCAATGGGGAACACTGCTAGACCAGAAGGTAAGCAAGTATGTTCACATCTCCTTCATAAGGGTATTTATCAGATTCTTGAATTATAAGAACAGTACATTCTGAAAGCACTATGTCACCCCAGACTGACAAACTCAACAGCAAGGAAAGCTAAAGGTTACATGCCAGACCCTTCTGCTTCCTCTAGACTTGTAGCTTATCCCTTTTAGCCAGAGAAGGATGCCAGCTCAGCCCTTAAGCTGCTGCTGTCGTTTCTTACCAGCACGCCATTTTAATTCTCTCAAAGCAGGGAAACACTGCTGCTCTCACGTGATGTTTATTCTTAGAGAGGATACCAGGGATTTTTATTTAGCCAACTTTAGTCATGCAGTTGGCCAAGTGCCATAAGAGCATCACGGAACTCCTCAGTTCTGAAAAGGGAGTGGCATTAGTGCAGTATAGACAGATTAATAGCATTAAAAGTGTCAGGTTAGGCAAGGTAGACCTGGGTAATTGGAGATAACTCTCCCCAGAATGTTGTTACTGCCAAAGTTCATGACAGACTTTGTAAAAAACAAAACAAAACAAACAAACAAAAACAAACATGACAGCCCTAGTCTGAGGTCCATTTAACCACTTACACCCTTCATACAGCTGAAACCAATTCTTCCTGAGTTACTCAAAAGAACAAACTCTACCCCTTTCATCTTCCCATTACCTTGAGATGGTTTCAGTGACAAAATTCCTGCCTGCCTAAGAAAGCGACTAGCACTAACTACTAGTGACCCAGCTAGAGCAAGCAGAACCACATTTAGGAAACAACTCTCAAAAATAACTTCAAACTTAAGTCTGGCCAAAACACTGCTCCTATTTTTTAGTTTTTGTTATAAGAAACATGCTCAAATGTTGCCAACAGATGAATGCAGACTTAGTTCAGCTAGAATGGTGCCTGTATGGCTTCTCTGGTGAAGTGGAGGAAACAAGATGCCCTGTTAGACAGCTCTTAGATCAGGTTGGAGCACAGGAAAATGCCAAGAGCAGCTTCAGCAAGAGGCCTCATGTTAATTCTCAGTCTCTAGGAAGGTATGTGAGAGCAATTGCTTCTCTTTGCTCATACCCTTTGGGTTTAAAATCTGATGGAGTGGCAATGGGGGGAAGAATGCTCATTTCTGAAATGAATTAATGCAGAGGAATAGCTTTCACCTTCCAAAATGTATGCAGGAAGCCAGCAGAGGAGGAAGGGAGTAGCTACTGCAGTTCAACCACTATTGTATTTACATTTCCGTGCTCATGATAACAAATACATTCAACGATGGCTGAAAAACAAGGCACTGGTTAGAAAACAAAAGCTGAGCTTTCACGAAAGAAAGAGCAATAAAAAAATCTCAGGTCTCCCTGCAATGTTATCAGCCACAGTCTGTGAGTTTCTTTAGAGAATGGTTCACTTCCTTACTGCAGGTACAGCCGCAACATCCAGTATCACAGTATTGTGCCCTCTGACACATGCAGTTTCCCTTCCAAGGGGAGAAGGGACCAAGTAAATCATTGTGTAGTGTAATACCGAAAAAAACAACTACCTTTTTAAATTTAATTAGAGGATCTGCCCACATCACTTTAAGGAAGTAAAACCATAAGTAATAAAGTGACATGGTAGAATTGCCTTCTTCCCACTTGTGTTCTCTTATTTCAAGGGCTACATCTCAGCCCTGTTCTTGGCATTCTCACTCTCGAAGGTCAGCCCATACTTTCTCAGCTCCCTTTTAGCTGGGTGGGTGATAATGCACCAGCCCTTCCTCCAGCAAACTGCAAAATCCTCTCAAGGACAAGCAATCACTCTTGGTTAGCTAAAGCACAGAGGCAGAGAAAGCTCTCTTTATCTGCTCTCCTTGTCTGAGCAGAATTTTCTGTAGGCAGAACACTGCTGCAGCAGGGGAGCAGGGAGTTACCCAGCAAGTAGTAGCTGTTTGCTGATACCACAATTGTAACAGCAGCAGACCCAATCTAGTCCACTTTTGATCAATAAAAGGATCCTAAAGGTGTGGGTTTGTGCATGATTCTTCCCACTAGAGCAGTTATACAAAAAACGTAATTTAATCCAGCAGATAGTGTTTTTAGAAATACCTTATCCCCAGCTATACACACATACCCAATGCAATAACCAAATTAAGTTCTCAGTGGCGCAAGTCATAGTCAGCATTTGTTGTTTAAGCAAGCAGGTACGACCAAACATGCAACTGTGCTTGGCTGAAAGAGCTCATAACAAAATAAGCAGGAAGAACCCACTTATTTCAGACTGACAAGCCAAGATGAACAGGTTTTCTAAAGAACCCAAGATACTCCTCAACCAGGTCATCCAACAAGAACCAACTAGCTAGCACCAGATTCACACAAACACTTCCTCCTTCCTGCCTGCTCTCCCAGGCTGCTCCAAAGGATGTTGGGGAGGAAGTTCCTTCATTCATCTAAGCAGTCAATGACCGTGGATTAAATGTTCCCGGATAAATTACTTCAGGAAGCATTTTTAGCTGCTGAATACAGTCTGTGGGAAACACCTGTTTGGTTCCATGTCCTAAAACCATGGAACAACAAATGTTGAGAAGTACAACTATATGTAACCTTGGGACTCCGGGAGGCGGCTAACACTGTAACCCTCATTTTTGTACAATGGGGAAAAGCAAGCAGGAAAATTATAGCATACCAAACTCACCCCCTTAGACAACTTGAGAGTTAACAACATGACAAGTAAATTGAAGCCAGAGATTAATTCCAGACATCAAAGGAGTCCGGCAGACATTAAGATCACACTGGTCAAAGCTAAGTGAAGTGGAACGTGAAAAACGTTCAAGACTGGACCATGCAGGAAGGGCAATGTAGTGCTCCTACACTTCTGTGGCATCTTCTCTGTTCAGCTGCACATAGCACTCACTGCCTGCATTGAGTCCACCTCCCATGACCTCTTTAGCTTCATCCAGGCCACAGTGAAAAGCACCCAAGGCATTCTGGGCACCTCCCCTCCCTCCATCCAGCCCAGAGGGAGATAAGCCATCTTATCTGGCTTTTCTTCAAACAGCTTTTAGAGAAGGACTTAAGATGTACTGGCAAGCAGCCACAGGATGCAGTACAACCAACCAGTGGTGCAGCTGCCCCTGGTTCAAGTCACACCCTGAATGGACACACAGAGCATCAGCCTGACTCAAAAGCCAAGGCCTTTGCACTTATCAGTGCTAGCTCTGCTCCAGCCTGTTAAGGAAACTAAAAGGCATTTTAGAAACAACTTTAGCCCATACCCAGAACAAAGTTTTAAGAGACACAGGAGGCTACTGTCACTTTAAGATATTTTTAGTAAATCACAGTGGATGCAGGTGGTGATGTTAAAACAAGCTGTCATTCAACTGCATCCAGTTGACTCTTCTGCATTCTTTACAGCCAGGTATCTCTGGATGGTACCGGCAGCCTGACATTAACAGCTTAGACATTTTTGCACAAGTTCATGCTCTGTGTTTCATTGGTTTACATTCTAGACTACCTTAAGGTTAAGGCAGCACAAAATATTAATTAGTAAACAGAATAATACTGCTTCTAGGACTTGAAGAAATAGGCAGCACTTGAGAACAATCAATCACTGCCAAGATGATCAAACTGTAATGTAGAAGACACCTGGATCCTTCAATCCATACCAAACACCATGAAGAAATTTAATTCCTTCATTAAAACATGTTATGTGAGCACCTGCACCTCAAATATCCTCTGACTGCAGACTTGATGATAGACTCCAGTGAAAGTGTAGCTTTAGGGTGCCTTCCACAAAGGATAGCTAGGACAAGAAACCTGGATGACCCGCTGCTCCAAATTCCTATCAACTCAGACTTGTTTTTTTCTTAGCTTAGTGTGCCCATTTTAATCTTCTGTAGTCCTCTTACACTGATAAAAAGATCTGAATGCCCAAGTTAAAGAAGATACCTGCCCTTAGAAGCAGAAAAAGTAAGAAAAGCAGGTCCAGCTGGCCAGAAAGGGCATCCCTTGAGTCACACACCAGCTCTGCTCACTTGAACAGAGCCAGGGAATGTTAGAAACTTTAACAGATACCCAAAAAAGGAATGATGCAAAAGAATAGAAAATAGAGTGTTTAACATAAGATTTTAGCATAAAAGAATGGAAAGGTAGGTGCATTTCAGTCAAGTTTGTTCTGCAGGAGTCACAGAATTCCCTGTACAATGCCTTTTAAAGACATGCAGACTCTCCCAGCATCCATTTAACACCCCCGTTGTCACAGCCAGGCATGCCTGCTCTGCCAAGCCTTGCTACCGAACTTCTGTCAGAGATTCTGACATTTCAGAACTCTAGATGGGACCTGTGTTTTCCAGAACAGAAGTAGTTTTAGTGTGTGAAGACAGCTGCATCAAACCTTTGCTTTAATTAAGGATTTAGTGTTGTGTCATTGGAAAAACAGTTCATACCTCAAGAGCGGGTGTTCCTTTTCTCAGGTCCTTTGCTCCTCAGAAACTGCTTATCTGCAAAATATAATGCATTCACAGTTAAGAGGAAGCCATATGACTGTGGAGTACTTGGATGTAAGCTAATGGGGGATGGATAGGACATGATTTGTGTTACTTAAAATTAACTAAAACTTGAGAAGTTGTGCTGCAGTCCCACTACAGTTACCTAAGCAGCTTTCTTTAATGTTCCCTCCTCAACAGGAATACTATTTAGCTATTTCACATCAACACTTGCTCAAGCTATTAAGAATATACCATGAAAATTGTAAGCAACTTTTCTCTCATTATACATCTTAATAGTTTTTTACAAACACACCATTAAAGCTGAGGTAATCCAGGATGATTAGCATATCCCTCCACTAAGCAGTAGTTCAGGTGCTCATACAATGGCTTCAAAGCACTCCAGTCACAGCTGGGCCACCTGCGACAGCCATGTTGGACTCAACATGCTGATTTTTATCTGCCTGGAGATGAACAAAGCTAAAGAGGCACCAAGAACATCTGTGGCCCAATCATCAGTTATTACCGTGTAGAGCCACTGTGCACGGAAGGCTTTGACATGGCAGAACTGTCATGTTTTAGCCTGAGACAAGCAAGAAAGCCAAGATGAAGCATTTTTTTTGAGATTGTACCAACTCCACCAATTTTCTGTACTTCCAAATGTCAGACTGGACTCTTTTGCAAAGTTCTTAACACACTCACAAGGCAAAACCTACAGGTATTGCTAGACGCAATACTCAACTAGAAAAGCCTATGCTGTATTCTCTTATGGATTAATGATATTTGGGTTAATATTCTAAGCAGATCCAGATATTGAAAAAAAGAAAGAATTCAGGAGCTGTATGTCAGTTGCCAACATCAGCCCATTTTCTGCACATCTGCCATGATTTCAGTGAAGGTATACACACCAGCTGTGCCAGAGAACTATCTCCTCATCTACTGGGTGTGGTGCCCCAGACTTTTCTATACAATATTTTACACATTGCTCACGATGTTTCTTTATTGTGAAACAAGCACATCTAAAAAACCAGAAATCTATCAAAATAATACTCCTACTCTTCATGCAGCTCTCCGCAGAAAAGAATATACACTAAGCCACACAGTCAGTTAAGTATTTCAACCTCCATGGAGAAACATCCATGGATGAACTTGTTCTTCATCCCAGCAAGTAATCAAGCCAGTCTCAGAAGAAAATATCACCTCCATACCTGCTCATTAATGCAGAATCATATAGAAACACTAATGCTTGTTCCTCTCCCTACAGATGCACATTTCATGTTACACAGAAGTAGAATGCCAGACCTTTCACCTAAATGAGAAAACAGCCCAATGAAAACAGAATTATTTCAGCTTTAAGAAGTGGTAAATCACTCACAAGTAAAACCTTCTGAAAGAGTCCTGTTCCTTTCAGAAGGGGTGGAGAGTTATTGCTCCCCTGTTTTATGAGGATGGCTTTAAACTGACAGAGGGGAGACTGAGATGAGATCTGAGGAAGAAGTTCTTCCCTGTGAGGCTGGTGAGACCCTGGCACAGGTTGCCCAGAGAAGCTGTGGCTGCCCCATCCCTGACACTGTTCAAGGCCAGGTTGGATTGGGCTTGGGGCGACCTGGTCTTAGTGGAAGATGTCCCTGTCTGTGTCCAGGAGTTGGAACTGGATGAGCTTTAAAGCCCCTTCCAACCCAAACTGTTTCTAGGCTTCTATGATTACTATGTTAATTAAAGAACGGAGAAATATCTTATGTATGATTCAGATACACTAGCATTAAGGATGAGCTCTTGCTTGTGTGGTAACACTAATGCTCCCCTTTCCCCTTTCTATAATAGCAGAAAGAGACTGCTATTACACATCATAAACCCACGTTTTCTTTTGCCACATCATTATCTGCAGTTTAGCCATCCTGTGATAAACTGGGGCATCAAGGGTTCCTCTCCCCACCTACTTCCAACTGATGAACACTCAGATCACATCCAGAGGCATCAAGCCCTAAATGCACAGCCCAACGGTCTGCTCTGTGTAAGTACATCCCACATATGTTGCTGTGATCCACCCACTTATTTGTGGCAAAACATTCAAGAAACTGAAAAGCATTAGCTCCTTTTTAAATGCTGGGCAGTGCTACTCCTTCTCAACATGGGCAGCACTGTATCAACCATGGTTCTAATAGCAGTGAAGTAAAATCTACTGCAGTTTCCCAGTCTGCGCAGAAACACTTCTTTCTTCAGTAAACCTGCATCTCTAGTTGCTTTTTAAATAAACCTTGAAAGAAAGAATTCCAATACTAACAAGATGGTCTTAACTACCCACAGTTGCAAAGACTGCTTTTTAACTTAAGTATGGGGTGTTCTTGACTGACAAGCAGAAATGCTAAATAATCTTACTTTCCCCAAACTGACAGATTCACTAAGATTGCAGGTGTGGCTGCAAAGATTTTTTATATGCTAGGTCTTACAGGAGACTGGGATAGATCTCAGCTTGTTCTCTCACATAATAAATTGAAGAAGACTCTGACCTCTTATAGAAGCATTGGTGGATAGCTGGAAAAGGTGTCATCTATCACCTAGCCAGCAAATACTGACTCACGTGTTCCATTATTAGCCACAGTTGTTTTCCAGTTGGAGAAATATTCCTGAGAACTATCTTAACGTTAAGAAAGCCTGTTTATACATTGCAATCCCAGTTCCAAGTTCACAACTTCATTTCCCCCCAACACAATCTGTATGTGAGTGACACTGAAAACCAGCACAGAGGAGCGGCAGTCTGATTTAGTTTACATCCCCTCACCACACCCACTTGGCATTTTTATCTTGCCTGAGCTATCAGCAAACTGGTAGTGCCTGGTATGCATACTGTCCCATCGTGTTTGCTATCCCTGTAATATCCAGTTCCACATCCTGCACCAGTAGTTCTTGTTCCTCAGCTCTTCTGGTTCCCAAGCTCCTTGTACTTTTAGCAATAAGCATTTCAATGGCTCCACTAACTCCATCCAGTTTCCTACACAGATTTCCTCCCCTGAATTACCTGTATCCAATGAATACACTAAACTACTTCCTGCTTACAACCCAGTCTCTTACTGTCTATTTCTTTCTCACCAGAGAATTCACCAAATGCACTCCCCATCTATAATAAAACAGTTATTCTGAGGAGTCCCACAAGCATATACATATTTCAGGGCAAACATTAACAATTTATTTCTGCTTTTTATAATTTTGAAATTTCTTACTACTTTAAGCATCAACTACTTGACTCACTGTTTCCAGCAGGAGCCCTTTTGACAGCAAAGTACCACCTCTCCTTGGTCAATGAGAAAGGCATGCAACTTACTTTGGGAAAGCAACCAAAAAGATGCATAACAGAAGCAAGGAAGTGATTCTTTATACCCCCCTCACAAAAAGCATTCCAATTAGACAGTCTCTAGTTCCAATAATTTAATATTTTCTGTATAAACAGTGCTTGTCTCAATCTGGTTTATGTTGCTGCCAAAGACAATGGTGGCAGAGCAAACCTCCAGTTACATTCTATATTATCCCCCTTACCCAGCTCAATCAAATGGACTTCAGCGCAATGAAGTTTACAACAAAGAATGTGACATTCCTCATACCAGATGCCCTTATAGGCTCCCTCAGTTTCTCTAAACAAGTGACACTTTCTGTTTTCTTATACCCAAATTTAGACTGTTTCCCATATCCTGCAAGAGAAAGCTAGAAACTTCCTGTTGTCTCTCACCCTTCACACTTTGCTTCCCAGTCTCTAAACAGCTTCCTTTAAATAGCTCTCCATCTTAAATATGCATGGTACATGAAGATCACTTGATATGAAAAGCTAAGAAGGGTGACACAGATTGCAGCTACAGCATTCCTCATGCAAAGCAGCATCGCGTTGTCGAATACCACAGGTTCAAATGCAGTCTTACAAACTGAGCTATATACGTGGTGGCTGTGAAACCCCGACATGAAGGCATCTCAGATTTTCATCCCAGTCCTCTCCTAGAGGAATAATGCTAGCAGCAACTTAACTGCAACTGCCCAACATAAGGAAAACTGTCTTTATAGATGTAAGTCCCTATGTTGTCTCCTTGGCCACACCTGAATTCACCAATTTATCCAAGAACACAGGATGGACTTTCTTCCTTCATGGGTACCATTGCCAAGTTGTCAATGACTTTTTGTTCAGCATCACATTCCTGTTCGCACACTCACATGTGGCATCTCAGATGAAGCTGACTGTATTTGAAAGAGTCTACTTTTAGATTTGGTTTGAGGCTTTTAAGTAGCGCTTCTCCTAAGACAAGCTGTAAGTGCTGAGATTAGGCTAATAAATTAAAGAGTCTTCAAAACACAAGAAGTAGTTTCACTGAACGCTAAGAGTGAATAACCTTCTGTGGAAACATTCATGAACAGTAAGTTAGACTTTAATGGTAGTCATGCAACTCTTACTTGTACTAACAGACCAAACTTCCCAACTGCAGGTAGCACATGGAAGAATAAAGGTCTTAAATTTTAAAGCAAGCAGATACTCTACAATAATATCCATATTTAATGCTTATTAAAGGGGACAGGCTTTAAAAAATCGTCTTCTGTAGCAATTCAAGTTGACAAAGTTAAAAACTCATGAGGTTCATACAATCAGACAGTAAATAAGCAGCTGCGCGAGTGTAGCTGTTTTTACAGCACCACAGATTTTCATATGTCAAGAGTGATTTGACTAAAGAAACAACATGCAATGATTCTAGAAAGTTGGGAAAATGACTCATAGACTGCCAAATCACCAGTGTCAAGGACCAACCAAGGACCTTCCATAACAATCCTGAAAGGCTAGACAGGGCAGGAAATGCTCATTAAGAGGTGAGCTCCAGCAGCCAGCAGTCTTAGGTTAGTCAGTGCACAACCGGGGAGGATGGAAGAGAGCATTCAACTTCACTACAAAACAGAATACACTGGACAAGAGGCTGAAAACACCTAGAGAAGGCTGAGATTAAATATTTTGACAGAAGTGATCTCTGAATCATTTTATAGAT